CTACTTGAATTTGTCATAATAAACATGTATTTTATAATGAAAAATTATTTTTCTAGCAGGTAATTCTCTAACAGTTCATAGAGCATTTTATAAGTCTTTATAGCACGTTAAAGATGAAAACATTCTTTGAATTCAAGATAAGTATCTCAGTATCTAGATCAAACTGAGCTGAGTACTAGAAGACAAACTGAGTGTATTATTCAGCAGTTGCGGTTGGGAGCGTGAACAGATAATTTAATGAATTGCCGGACTGTCATGATAGAGTTACTACCTTTTAGAATTTCCTGCATGCTTATCAAGGTGCACGGAAGAGAAGTATCTCTGGGGACTCAGTTTCTCTGAAATCAGGATAAGCGGCCATCCTCTGCAGCAGCAGTGTAGAGAACATTTTCATGCATGGTCTGCCATCGGGGTGGTTCAAATGGACAAGGTCTGGTAGGGTGCCTGTCAGTGATGCTAATGTACTAGAAGACTGCCTGCCTTGGCCTCCTTTCCTTTTCTAAGTACTCACTACTTTTTATTTCTATTTAATTAAGGTCACATTTATCAACAACTCATGTTAAGCTATATGGATACGTTTTTCTTCACAGGCTCAGGCAAACACTTGTCCTTTTTAAAGTTTACTATGCTAAAAATATATAGGATATATTTGAACAGAGGATCTCTAGAATATTCCTTTGGATGATCCCACTGTGATAAATGCTACAGTGAATGACTAGCAATGCAGGAAAAGTCAAAGGAGGAAATAAAAATTCTCAAAATAATTCCTTTGATCTAAGAAGTAGCTCATAGAGAATATGTATGTGTATGGGTGGGTGGAGATAACACACATATTATGGACCAGTCGCGCTTCCTGTCCTAAGTATTACACTAATCTGGTTCATTGGTTCACAAAAGACTTGTCTTACTCAAGGACCAAGTATCTGATTGCTGGTACAGCTCATGGTCGCTTCCAGGCACCTGAAAGTCTGGAAGAATTTCAACTACCTTCCTACGAAGTTGCTGTCGCCTTTCTTCTTTTACTCTTTCCTCTTTCATAAATTTTACAAACTTCTTCCATGTCCGAAATGTGATCCAGAGGATCCTCCTTTAAGAATAAAGAAGGAAAACAGTGAAATGCTGAGAAAAAGTTGGCTTTCCATCTATAGTACATTAAGAACTTTATAAAAATTCTTATGTTAATAAAATGCTGTATAAAAGGTGTGGAAATCACAATTGGGATTATGATAGTGTGAAATGCTGTGAAGAAAATAAAGTAACAAAAGGGAATGAGAGTGACTGACAGGTTATTTTTATTTGTATTTTATTTTATTCTATTTATTTTCTTTGAGGCAAGAGTCTTGCTCTGTCACCCAGGCTAGAGTGCAGTCATGCAATCTCGGCTCACTGCAATGTCTGTCTCCTGGGTTCAAGCGATTCTTGTGCCTCAGCCTCCCAAGTAGCTGGGATTACAGGTGACCGCCACCATGCCTGGCTAATTTTTTTGTATTTTTCTTGGAGATGGGGTTTCGCCATGTTGGCCAGGCTGTCTTGAACTCCTGGCCTCAAGTGATCTGCCTGCCTTGGCCTCCCAAAGTGCTGGGATTACAGGTGTGGGCCACTGTGCCTGGCCAGTTATTTTTATTTTTGATTGAGTGGTCAGGGAAACTGAGGAGGTGACATTCGAGCATAGCACCAAATGGCCTCCAGTAATGCAAGCTACGAGGCACAATCTTGAGTTCATCTGATTACAGCCTACATACTGTGCCCATGCCAGGACCAGTGATGCTGGCAAGGGATCCAGAAACTA